CAGGTCAGAGCAGCCGAGCAGGGCTGCCTCCCAGTCCTCCCGCGAAGGGTTGGGTAGTGAGGTAAGGTTTGGGGTTTTTTGGCATGCCCACACCATGTGGAAAATGTCAGAGGAATTTTCCTCACAATGCGGGCACTTCCCCGTGCAGGCGGGGTCAAAGTGTTTTATGATTGCCGGGCACAATAGAGTTTTAGTATAAAGGCGAAGGAGGATTGTGATCTCCTTAAAGGTGTAGGCAGGATTGGGTTCGAGTTCCGGATCGGTAGGGGACGAGGATGGTGCCCGGAGAGTGAGCGCGCGTGGCAGCGGCATCGGCCGTCTCATTACCATCGAGGCCAGTGTGAGCCGGAGCCCATATGATCGTTCGGTGCGCGGGGGCACCTAGGTAGCTGCTGTTCTGCAATATTTTATAAGCACGGTACGGAATGTATCCCTGTTCAATATTGCGACAGGCACCCCTTGAGTCGGTGATGATGACCCTCGAGTCCTGATTTGCGGCGGCTAGTGCGATGGCGATCTCCTCCGCGTGCGTAATGTTATGTGCACGGAATGTGAGTTCGTTTACAACGGTGTTTTGGTGGACGACCGCAGCCGTATACCAACCACCGTGGTGCGGGCCGGAGGCGTCCACGTAGAATACCCCGAATTTGTGGCCGTAGTGTCGAGCCAAGGCTTCCGCCCGCGCGAGGCGTCGGCCAGTGTAGTCGTCTCGGGTCATGTTAGCCGGAAGAGGGCGCACGTGCAAGGAGTATCGCCAAACTTCTGGAATCCGTACGCGCTCTCCCGTGTGTATTGAGAGATTGATGTGTAGCCGGGCAAGGAGGCGGCGACCCGACGGTGTTTTAGAGAGTCTAGTATATTGGTTTGTGAAGTGCGCCTCTCTCAGCTCCTTGAAGGTGTTCACCATTCCCAAGCCCAAAAGGCGCTGGTTAGAGGTGCTGACAGGAAGGTCGAGGGCGCGCTTGTAGATTTTGCGGAGAATGACTTCGAGTGCATTCTCGTCGGATTTGCGTAGGTGGAGGTATGGAGCCGAGTACAGGACTCGGCTGGTTACGAATGCATGCGCCAGCCGCAAGGCATCTTTGCATCGTAACCCCCCGCGCTTGTTGGAAACACGGCGGACCATCCGGCTCACCTGGTCCCCCACCTTACGCAATTTGGCCAATGTTGTGTCTGCTCTGCGATTTTTGTGTATAAAAAGCCCCAGTACTCTAATCTCATCGCGTTCGGGTATTGGTCCGCTGTGAAGGGAGAGGTCGATCTTTGCGGTGCGCTTTGGTGAGGGGCGTATGTGCACGAATTCCGATTTGGACGGGGAGCACTGAAGGCCGCAGCGACGGGCATAGTCATCCACGATGTCCGCCGCTTGCTGCAGGCTTGCCTCCATGTCTCCTGCCGAGCCGTGTGACGCCCATGTGGTGATGTCGTCGGCGTACAGCGCATGCTGTATGCCTTCGACTTTCGCCAGCTGAGCGGGGAGTCTCATCATTGCCACATTGAATAGGAGGGGCGAGAGGACCGCTCCCTGCGGAGTCCCTCTCGTGCCTAATCGGTAAGGGCCGTGTTCAATGTCCTGAATCCGAATGTATGATTGTCGGTCAGTGAGGAATTGTTTAATATAGTTGAAAGTGTTTTGGCCGCAATCCACCTGTGAGGGATGTGTTAGAATAATTTCGTGGGTCACGTTATCAAAGGCCCCCTTCAGATCCAAAGCGAGCACAACTTTGTCATTCAGGGGATACTCGACTGGATCGAGGATCTCATGGTCGAGCTGAAGCAAGACATGTTGCGCGGACTGGTGTGGGCGGAACCCGAACATGGTGTCTGCAAATGCATTTTTGCTCTCCAGGAACGCGGACAACCTGTCGCGCACCATCGTCTCCATTAATTTTCCCACACAAGAAGTAAGGGAGATGGGGCGGAGGTTGTCCGTGTTAATGGCTTTGCCCGCTTTGGGTATGAAGGTGACCAGGGCGGTCTTCCACTCAATTGGTAGGCTTGTTTCCCCGATCCAAATGGAATTGATGTAGGCAAGGAGCATGGTGTAGGCCGAGTCAGGAAGATTGGCAAGTAATTTCACGGTAATTTTATCCCTTCCCGGCGCCGTTCCTCTCCTCATTTTTGCTAGGGCTGCCTTCAGGTCGTATAACTGGAACATTTGATCCAGCTCCGCGTTCTCGGTACCTGCATACGAGTACGCCGGCCCTTGGGAGTCCTGCTGAGTGCATAGATATTGGTCTCGGAGTTTACATGCCAATTTGGCTGTGTCTCCGTCGAAGCTGTGAAATGCTCGTTGCAGATGCTTTTGTGTCTCTGTTCGAGTTTGGGTCGGATCAATCAAGGCGCGGAAGAGGCGCCAGGTACTCCGGCTGGACATTTGTCGAGCGGCCGTGTTGCAACGGTCCACCCAGTTAGAGTCAGCGAGCTGGGCCGCGTACTCTGCTGCTCGCTGGGTGAGCTCAGCGATGCGAATTTTGAGCTTTCGGTTGTGTTTTTGCCGGCGCCATCGGCGGACGAGGCTGCGCCGGGCCTCCCAGAGGTGAAGGAGATGGTTATCCACCACCGGAGTCACCTCGGAGAGTTTAATTTGTGTTTCTGTGGAGCATAATGAGGAAACCAGTTGCTGGGACCAAGCATGGTATCCTTGCTCCTCAATGGGTGTCGAATTGGCGTATATTTGCCGAAACTTCGTGTCATCGGGTAATTTTGCCTCTCCGTAGGGTCTTGCCAAAGGGTAGGTGCGAATGGTGGTGTTGAGTATGCAGTGGTCGCTGCCGAGGGTCTCTTCAGTGTTGACCCAATCCGCATACTGAATGTTTTTTGTGAGGGTAAGGTCCGGACATGTGTCCCGGGTCACGGAGTTACCCACGCGAGTTGGGTAGGCAGGGTCGGTGTGAAGAGTTAGGCCCAGCGTGGACATAAGTTCCGCCAATTTACGTCCACGTTTCTCTTCACGTGCATACCCCCAGAGTGTGCTGGGGGCATTAAAATCACCCACAATCACCAGAGGGTCCCTGCCCGCAGCCTTTAAAGCGCGGCTAAAAAGGTCTGCGAATGTAATGTTGCTTAGTTTCGGTGAGCAATAAATGTTTAGCAGGTGCAGTGGTGGGTCCTGTTTACGCAGCGGAAGGAGTGTCACCATCACGTACGAGAAAGCTGGCTTAAGGTCGAGATCAACTAGGTTGGCCGTATAATTTTTGTGCACGCAGATGCAAGATAAAGGGTCCTGCTGAAACGTAGTATAGTTTGTGAGTGTGGCAGCACTCCCTGGCTCCTGGAGGGCTACCACAGCAGGAAGGTTTTGAAATGCTGCGAGAAAAAGGCGGAGGTTGGCGCGCTTAGTGTGAGCCTTAAAGCCCCGACAATTCCACTGGGTGATTTGGATGGGAGTGCCCGTATTGGATCGTGGGGACTTCCGAATTCTAAGGGTGCCCGCCATGGTCAGTGGAGTTAACGAGCGATTGCGGTGGCGGTGCTCCCGAGCCAACACTCGCGGGGAGGGGGGTGTCCTCAATTCCGGAGGCGGAGCAGCTGTCATCATCCTCAAATTCGATCTGTCGTCGAAGCGTTTTAAGGTACCGGCCAGACACGTCCTTAATTGGGCCGGCTCGTTTGGTGAAACGCGCAACTTGTTGGGCTATCAGGGTAGGGATGGTTTCTGTCATTTTAGCAATGGCGGCATTTACAGCCGCTGAGATTTGGGTTTCGAGGACAGTTATACGGCTGTCCATACGGACCTCAAGGGTGTTCACACGAGCCTCGAGTGCGGCAACCGCGTCTGCCGCCCCCGCCCCGGTCTCACTCTCCATTACCTCTACTGCGGGGGGAGGAGGAGGGGAGACTAGTTGGGTCTGTTTGGCCTCGGCTTCCGCTAGTCTTTTCTGTAACGCTTCGATTTGTGCCTGAAGTTTGGCAATAATATTTTGGTCGGCGTTACGCGATGAGGAGGGGATGATAGGGGGGGATGAGGAGGCAGCTCTACCCGTACCACCCACCTGCTTTCCGTTTTTGACGGCGTTGGCCCATGGCCCGGCTTCGCCGCATGGTTGCGCCGTCGGCTGCTTTTCGGTTCCTCCAGTAGGGGAAGCGGGCTTGTCTGTCTTGGGGACTTCCCGGCGTGGTGGCTCACTGGGAGTCTGATCTTTGCGTCGTTTCTTGGACGCCCTTTTGGACTTTCTGCCCTGTTGTGCGACCATCTTGGAAAGGGTCGATTGGGCCGCGGGGGTCTATGGGAGTGTCCGCTCTTAACTTCTTTCTTCCTTTATGGCTTAATGGTCTCCCATAGCAGAATGCCAAGAACTATCAATCGTTGAACACTTTTGCTAAACCTACAGCTGGAATAACTTAGGAGTGCTTGTGAAACCTTGCGCCTTGAGATAATTGCATCATGAAATTGAAGAGCAATCAAAGACCACCGTATCGCTAAAGAGCGGGTACATGGTGGACGTAGAGTTACTGTATATAAAGGTAGCATATACAGTAACTCTAGGCGGACGCAGAAAAGGGCGACACGTGGCGGCGGAGTATAGGAGAGTTCTTGCGGCGACGTCAAATCACAGCGACCACGCGGGCGTTAACTAACCCAGGTTCGATATCTAGATCAGGACATTCTTATTAACGATGCTCTCCAGGAGTAATCTTTAGGAAATTCTGCGTACAAAAACAGCACTGTTCAGCAATAAATCTTCCGAACAGCGGGATTTTTCTCGCTCTGTCATTGTGTGTGGGAGATAAAATATGTTTTCACATACACAACAGTATTCAGGAAAAAAAAAACCGTCGCAACGAGAGAACCAAAAGGAAGATCTTGCAAAAAGTGAGCGATATTTTTACGAGAAAACTGCGCAAAAAAATGAAAAACGAGTCTACGAAGATCGACCACACAACGCGTTGCCTTCTTTTTTTCGCAATGTTATTCGCAGTAAAACATTACCAACAAACTCAAGTCCACATTCATTATTATTTTTTCGTCCGTCGTTGCCATAGCAGCTTGGTCTGGCTCATTCACCCGAGCGGCTGCCATCGACATGCTTGGTGTCGTTCGGAGCGAGCAAAAGGCCGGTCTTTAAAACGGCGATGCCCGTTGCAGCAGATGTGATGACCTTCTCCGTAACGCTGTAACCCAGTTTCCTAAGCAGGTGTGCCTGCGACAATTGCGGCTCGTGTTAGAAAGGTATGGTACGCACACATTTGGCAAAACATTACTCTAGGTGCCCCAAAGTTGGTCTATTTTGTAGAGTTTCCCAATAACACTCTAAATACAACTATGGCTTTACATGGTCTATGGGGGGAGGGGGAAGTTTAACGCATGGTGCTTTAGCCTGCATGGGAATGAAGGGTAGCATGTGGACTAGTCTAAGCTTTGTTCTATAGGCTGCGTTTAGCTCCATGAGACGTGCATACGCTTTGTCGTAAGACGAAGTTCAGCAGTTCCCCTTTCTACTTTGACTTTCTAGGTTCACCAATACACATCGGGTAAGGAAGCTATCAATGACCCATTCTTTTATTTGAAACAAACTCAAAAACACAACAGTACATGAAGTCACAAGTGCATTTGAAGCCCGTAAGCACGAATACTAGGCAAATATGTGTACTGCCTATCCTTCCCGTGGTGGCTGCACGACCACAGCGCCAGAACTCTCTCTAAGCTGCTGTAGAAAGCTGTATGGGCTATGTGGTAGGGAATCATCTTGACAGCAAGTAAGATGTGTAGGCACGGTGTTTGTGTTGTCTGGTTGTTTCCCGCGTACCCACGCCTTTCGTTATTTAATCACGTACATGGTCGGCCACATATAAGGTGAACACCTCGTTAGCATTCATGACCTCATAAAAAAGTGACGTTTATTGCATATTTCGGGCATTTATTACTGTATTTCTAGACAGAGTTGTAACGCGTCATATAACGAACCCCTCCCTCGTGAAGTAAATTAAGGTTTACTTATACCGGCTTGAATAATACGTTGTTCACATTCAGTGTGGTCGACCATGAACACACAAAAGCAAGTTTTCGGAACTTAAAATGTTCGCGAAAGGAATATTGCCACGGTAGCTGGCATTGCAAACTGTACAGTCACCACCATAATCAGGTCTATTACGCCCTAATAGAGAAGAAATCCGCTCTTCATTTGGAGGCAATGTCCCATAAACTTTTGCTAATAGGTGCATTCTAAATAAACATATGCAGTGTTAGTGGTCATGTTGGTTTTATTGTGCAGCTGCACGTCAACCTGTATTACAGGGGTAGCACCTTTCCGAGTGTTTGCAAAACTTATTTGTGGTGGCAGGGGGAGCTCCTTCCGAGACCCAGAGAAATGTTATGGACTCGCTGAAATCTGTCTAAGGTGAAGGATTTTTCCAAACACAAATAGATCTCTGATGATATGCATTTGCCGACTGCATATACATCACACGGTATTTGCGGCTTTCATAAGAGCTGAGCGGACAAACGTGGTGAAGGGGTGGAAATAGCAATCCTCACAATGGCTTCCTACCTAAATCACTCTCTCTGTATATTTTTTTTACTGTAGACAAGCCGTTATCACAGGCATCCATGTTTTCTAAAACGTGGTTCAATATCGCTGACTATCACAGCGTGCCAGCGTCATCATTACAAGATCATGCAACATATAGGTCAATTTAGTGACAAATCTACTGCAGCACATGGTCTGTAAACAACACAAGTGACACAAAAGAAACATGACTAATGACACGTGTGCAATGTCTCAGTGTGAATATGATTGATTGATGAGTGGGGTTTAATGTCCCAAAACCACCATATGATTATGAGAGACGCCGTAGTGGAGGGCTCCGGAAGTTTCGACCACCTGGGGTTCTATAACGTGCACCCAAATCTGAGCACACGGGCCAACAACATTTCCGCCTCCATAGGAAATGCAGCCGCCGCAGCCGGGATTCGATTTCGCGACCTGCAGGTCAGTAGCCGTGTACCTCAGCCACTAGACCACCGCAGCGGGGCTTAGTATGAATATGTGAAGCCATAGCCTCCTATATTTTCCTTGCCTGCCGGATGAGCACGAAACGCCTATCATCTATGGCGGTGCTGCCTACGTTGGGGTAGGGGTCTTTGTACTTAGCCTTTGAGATCGGCAATCTTGGTATTTGCTACTAATTTCAGAGGTTATGCCTTGTATTGTAGAAGTTGCTTAGTGAATGACGGCGTCACTTACGTAGGGTTAATTATAATTACGTTTACGCCTTTTTAAAACCTTTTTACGTTATTTTTGTTGCATATAAGCTCCAAAAACGTAAAAAACTTCTTTGAAGACACCCCCTACTTAGGTGGGGCCACCACCATAGTTCCGACTATGGCCGCTTTCCAAGTGACCGCCGATAACCTGGCAGACAAGGGACATCTAGGAGGCTGTGGTGAAGCTTGACGTGGACCAGGCCATCACAGCGCATGCGCATACCGGGTCAAAATGCGTCGACTTGTGCTCCGCGAACACCGCGTTGGGCGTGGTCGATCGAAACGTGGGTTGGACACGCGTGTCGTTCCACACGCAGTGAGGAAGTGCGTACATGCGAAGGCACGTGATGAGCTGCAACAAAGAGACGTGGTGGTTAGGAAAACCAGTACCTCATAAAGAAGCGGGTCAAGAGATGCGAACATATATTACCACGATGAGTTGCTCGAACATTGATGCGTAATATAATTTCTGGTGTTTTACGTGCTGAAACAACAATGGGATTAAGACACACCGTAGTAGAGGACCATGGAAGTTTCGACAATCTGCAGTTCATTAACCTGCACCTTAGTCTGATCATATGGACCTCTAGCATTGCGTATCTATCAAAAGGTTTAACTGAACATAAAGTACTATGAATAAGAAAACTGGACATAATATATTAACCAATCTTCTATATTTCCTTCTATTTTCAACAATACCTCAACTTCCAACTAATAATCACTGTTTTTACTATCCTTTGGCAGCGGGAAAGTTCAGGTTCTGTCTATCTAAAATAACTCATCGTGTATCCATAATAACTCAAATCAGACTGTATGAGTTAGAACTAGAATCAGAACCGTCGATGTAACTCCGGTGTGATACTCGGAAGACATTTTTTTCAGGAAACCGGAAGTAAGCGCCTGACCAGAACTGCGTGGAATAGAAAGAAGACAGTCACCCGTGGCTCGTGCAGTTAATTAGGCTCTGCGTGATCCGACAAAGTGTCCACAGTCATACTAACCACTAACCACCTGGCGACGTGGTTATGGTCATCAAAATGGTTACAGCCACATAGTCACCGGTTATGTCATTTTGCGGGGTTTTCACCTGTGCCACGGCAGAGATGGCGGGAAGTCCTCCGCTGCCGCCAAAGGCACCAACCAGCGGAGAAGGCAGTGGCACCTGCGGTTATGACGGTGGGTACCATGGACGTCATGGGCCGCTTGCCGGGGGCCAGCTTGTTCACCGGCGACGGGTCCAGGCCGAAGGGCTTTCCGGTCTTGGCGAAGGCGTCCATGTAATTGTTGAGCAGGAGACCCGAAGGGGCCTCGAAGCCGCTTCCGAAACTGCGTCAACGAGTCATGCAGAGCGCGCAGTCGGTGAGGCCTGCTTTGTGATCTCAAAGCCTAAAAGCGCAAACTGTTCGTTGGCATCACCACGAGTGATGCGAAAAATCATCGTGTGATTACGTCATCGTATCGCGTCATCGTGACACCACAAACCATCGAAATTTTTGACATCATAGTGACGTCACCATGATGCGACCACGGCGTCACCTGACGTCATGACCTGACGTCTCGCTTGGTCAAGGATGGCCTGATCACGGAGGCACTGTGAAACAATTTGAGGTGCAGGATGACTGAAGGGAGAGCGGAGATGCATCAACACAATCGGCTGAGGAAAACACATCTAAGATGGCATTCGCCTTGGAGCGTAAGGAACCCTGCGACATTTCTTTGCACAAGGCACAGAGCAACGCAGGCAATTGCACAACGTATCGCATATGCAGTTTATTTTATGATGTTTGCTGTCAAATGTATTACATGCAAGAGCAGAAAAAACGTTTACCGATAAATACGATAACACCTAATGCGAATTCTGGGAGTTCCTTTTTCTTAGGCAAGACCAAATGCATTAGAAGTTTGGCTTTCCGCAAGGTATTGACTACGCAATTCAATTTTTTTCAGGGAAGGACCGCACCCACTGCGCTATTATTTATTCATTTATTTATTTATTTATTCATTTATTATTTATTTTATCATAGTACCCACAGCGCCCAAAGACATTACAGTGAGGGGGGGGGGGAGAATACAAAATTTCAACACTCAATACAGATACTCCCACTTCACCAACACAATAATAACGCAATTCATTGTCAACTATACGTAGCGGCACGTGGGAGTAGACAATACAGAGCAGCTTCAAAATACCGTTTCGTCCCTACACATCTTGCGAGTACATTACTCTAGACCCTGAAGTAATCTTGAAAATACTTCACGTGAAGTAACCTCTGCTACTTCAGAAGTCAACATATTCCACCGCGCTATCGTCCTGGGGAAAAATGACATTTTAAATGTGTCAGTGCAGCAGTTTATTTCCATTATCTTATTGGCATGATCTAGTCGCTGTGAAACGTAGTCCGGTTTGCAAAAGTATCGTGAGGGGTCAATACCTGTACGGCTATGAAATATGTTGTGAAAACGTTGTGAAAACGTTGTGTATGTTGTGATATGTTGTGAAAACGTACGGCTATGAAATATGTTGTGAAGACAACCTCAGATATTCCCTTCGCTTGTCTAAAAGTTCCCAAACCAAGCTTTTCCTTTGCTTTTGATACACTAAAATTTCTGGTAAAATCAGAGCAGACAAACCGAACAGCCATGTTTAGAATTCTTTCTAAATTGGGCCCATCACATGCCTTACACGGATCCCACACAGCACAAGCGTAATCTATGAGAGATCGAATTTTACTCATATATATAGTTCATACTTGGCCTCAAGTGGTAAGTTACTTGCGTTTCTGAGCAGGAAACCTAACACACGTGCTGCTTTGCTTGTTACGTGATTGATGTGATGGCTCCAGGAAAGGTCCGGTGTAAAATATACACCGAGATGCTTGTGTTCACAAACTGTTAGCAGCCTGGTTGAATTTACAGTGTGAAATGAGTCATGTTGGCCTCTTTCCTAGAGAAGCACGCATGCACTTTTTTTTTGCATTAATGAACATACGCTACTTTCTACACCATTCAGAAACAGTGTCAAGATAGTTTTGAAGAACAGTGCAATCATGGGAGCTATGTATAAGCCTGTACAAAACACAGTCGTTGGCAAATAATTTGATATGTGATGAAATGCCGGAACAAATGTCATTTATGTAGATGAGGAACAATAGCGAACCCAAGACTGACCCTTGAGGCACTCCAGAGGACACATCAACTTCCCGGGATGACTTACTACTGATAACAACCTTTTGCCTCCTTAAATTTGAATACTCACTTATTCAATTCACAACCATATTGTTCACTTTACACATTTTTAGTTTTAAATGCGAAGCATTTCTTAGCGAACTTCGGCGACATTGAGTGTATCTATCTATCTAAATATCTATCTATCTAGCCGCCTACGACTTTTAGCTCTCTTGGCCGCTTCGATAATGGTATGGATACCAAACTTGGTATGACATAACATGACTGTATGACGAACATATCTGACTAGTCACAACATGAATATCATGACATGTGTGTCATGAATGTCATGATTTACATTTCTTGGTCCTGCAGCTCTTGCGGTGGTTTCGCTCGCATGGCATGTTGCCAGACTGGTATGGTATGAGATGATTGCATGTTGAATGCAAGCGACAAACCCTAACATGAAAATCATGACATGCATGTCATGTAACAACAACATGACTACGTTCAACACTCATGATGCGCTCGCGGCCGTTTCGCTAGCGTCACATATACCAAGTTCGTATTACGGTACGTGAATGAATGACGAAGGTATGTGACTGGTGCAAACATGATAATCATGAGATACGTGTCATGTATTACCATGACTACATGGCATGCTCATGATGCGCTGGCGGCCGTTTCGCTAGCTTCACTTATAGCAAATTTGGTATTACGGGACGTGAACGGATGACGAAGGTATGATACTGGTGCAAACACGATAAACATCAGATGCGTGTCATGTAACAACATGACTACATGCTACGCTCATGATGCACTCGCGGCCGTGTTGCCAGCTTCACATGTACCAAACTCGGTATTACGCGACTCTAATAGATGACGTAGGTATGTGACTGGTGCAAACATGATAATCATGAGATGCGTGTCATGTGAGAACATGACTAGGCCAATACATTTTGACAAGACGCGGTGGGCGTGCTCGCCGGCGTTCATTTCGTCGCGTCACGCTGGCGTTGCCACGCCTGGCGCTGGTCCTGCCATACACTCGCAGGCGCCGCCACCCACGGTTGCTTTGACGCATGCTCATTTCAGCGCGTCCGGCATCCCTCCGTAATAAAAAACTCCCAAGCATTTCCCCGAGGGTGAACATGGTTAAGTGCGAATGCACGGGGTGATGCTATGAGGGGTATTTATTAATTTGCACTATTATATTTATTAATCACACTATGGTGCCTTTATGGTGTAATGGTTCCTGGGAATCACAATTTGATCACACGGGGGAGTTTACGTTAACTCACTGGCGAATTCCAACGGATTTTAACTTTACTCCCTCTCATAGCATCACCCCGTGCATTCGCACTTAACCATGTTCACTCTCGGGGAAATGCTTGAAAGTGTTATTACTGGTGATGATGATTAAAGTGTAATTAATGAATTTAAGTGTTGTTTGTCATGAAGCATTTGTACACAGATACATTATATACGAAGTATTATTTATTTACACTTCACGATTTTCGTACGATGCATTAAATGCACACATGGTGAGCGCGTCACACACATACACACACACACACACACACAAACTACACTACAGATTAGCACCTATTCGTGTTATCGTTGTAGCTCACGGTTAGTACCAGCGCTTTGTGATCCGAGAAATGTATGGTGAGCGCATCCGGCAAGACGGAGCGGACCGTACAGTTTCTACTGAACGCCAAGTCTATGAAGCCACCGTTGATCGTGGTCGGAAACTCGAGAGACAGACACGTCATCGAGTAATTGTTCAGCATGTGGTCAACCAACCAGTCATTGTCCTTTCTAACGTCCACGTTAAAGTCCCCCACCACCACAATCGGAACCGAGGGACGCGCGCGCACAGACTCACTCTCCATCGCCGCATCCATCTGCTCCAAGATGTCATCTCTCAAGAGGTTCGGGGCCAGGTAGACGGTCACAACCAAGACGGCATCGCCGGAGTAGGCACTGGTGTAGACGGAGGCGTACGGCGAGTCGTCTCTGAGCGGCGAAGTACACACGGCATGCGAGAGGACGTTGGCGTAGACGTGTCCAACCAAGCACACGCCGCAGTACTCACCCCGGCTTCCACTCCGGGCGAAGGAGCACGGGTCTTCAGTGGGACACATTCGCGGCGATGCATCAGGAGCGAGGTCGGCACGCTGTAAGACCAGGAGTTGGGTCCGGTCCTGCTGTCGCCTGAGCTCTTCACTGAAGGGCCGGTAGCGCTTTAGGAAGACGTCCACTCCACCGGCCCTTCTCTCGGCGAGGGCCTCACGCCAGAAATGCAGCTCAGGTTGTTATCGAATCACAGCCGGTCACACACGGCGCAGCTGTGACCGAAGCTGCGATCCACAAAGTCGCGTTTGAAACGCGCGTCCGGACGAGCAAAGTCCAGGGCTCGCACCCTCTCCCGCGCGGCACGTTCACTGGCTCGAACGGCTTCGGGAACGTCCACTCGCCGTTGACGATTGCGAGCGGCGTCTTGACGCCGGCCTTCATCGCCCTTCTCCGCCTGACGCTTGCGTTGTCATCCGCTTCTTGGGCCGTGTTCGCGGCTCGATGCTGACGCCTCATCTCGGCCTCGCGAGCACGCAGTTCCCCATCCGCTGCACGCTTCGCCCGCTTGTCCTCGGCCTCGCGAGCGCGCAGTTCGGCATCCGCTGCACGTTTCGCCCGCTTGCACTCAGCCTCGCGAGCACGCAGTTCGGCATCCGCTGCACGCTTCGCCCGCTTACGTTCGGTCTCACGAGCCCTTCGCAGCGCCGCCTTGTCTTCCAACGTCGGCGAAACCACCACGGTACCGTCACCCCCAACGACGGGTGCAGTGCTGGCATTCGGTTGTACTGCATTCGTTGTTGATGGTAGCGTTGCCTCCGGGACATCCATCGCACGACGGGAGACTGAGAGAGAAGGCGGGCGCGCGAGAGAGAGGGGTGCGTGGGCAGCTGCGGCCCGCCAAGTCCTCTTTCTTTTAAAGATAGAGAGAAGACTGCGGACGCCACCGACGGCGGTGGATGGTTTGGGGTCGCTTATAAAGTGTATTCATACTTAAAAGTGGGAGACGCAGTATTGTCTGGGTAACGCATCGGCGCTAAATTCAGCATGTTGCATTTCGCGTCGGTTGTCGACGGACGCTGGTCGCGCCTGGCGTCAGACTATAAATGCTCGCGTTTCGCTAACGCAGCATCGCTGTGCCCAACATGCGCGCTCGTTAACGCTACAGTGGAGTATATTGGGCCCTTCATGATGTGCTCGCGGCCGTTTTGCTCGCTCCACATATACCAAATTCAGTGTAACGTGACGTCAAGGGATGGCGAAATATATGACTGGTGCAAACAAGGTAATCCTGACACGCGTGTCGTGTAAGAACATGACAACATACGACGCTGATAGCGTGCTCGGGGCCGTTTCGCTTGATCCACATATACTAAATTTGGTATCACGTTACGTGAATAGATGACAAACGGAAACGACAGATCCAAACATAATAATCATGACACAGAATCATGGACGATATCATTCACCACCACCTCATAATGTTGCGCTGATTTTAAACTGACATATCAAGGTTTCTTATTCTTGCTTCGCATGTCATTGATTTCCACTGTAGGTGTGATCTGCCCATTTTTTTTAAATCAATAAAGAGTGGGGTACGACGTCAAATGTTTTTTTTTTAATCTAGGAACAAGCAGTCAACAGATAAACCCTTATCTAAAGCAGATGAGAAGTCGTGTGTCATTTCAGGTAACTGTGTTGTGCAGGAAAAAAGACTACAAAAGCCGTACTGCTGAGGATTAAATAAACAATTGATTTTATTGATTGATATATGGGGTTTAACGTCCCAAAACCACCATATGATTATGAGAGACGCCGTAGTGGAGGGCTCCGGCAGATTAAGTATATACGTGTTTATATGAGTCAATATAATGGTATATATATTATAGTGACATTATATTATATTCATGTATTGTATACGTCACTGACGATCAAGACCACGGCAACAGCAACGATGACAATGCTCAACGCAGGAGCGGGCACCTGCATGAGAGATGTGCTTTAAAACAAGGTAGCAATTAAATGGACACTCTCAGCAGATTTCTGCCGTCGGTGGCACCATTTGTCGACTCCGTGGGTCTCCGCCATGATTCCCCATATATATATAGGCGACGATGGAATATATATTGCGACATGCGGAATCGAAGGTGCGACCTCTCGCTCCGTAGCACACGACGTTAAGCACTGAGCCACAAAAGAACATGTCTTCCATTGTGGTAGCAGCGAGCTATTTATATATAAAACGTTTACTCCTGGTGGTTTGCCGATCTCGGAGGGGGGGGGGGATATCGGAGTGTTTTCAATTTTTCCAGCGAGGTAGGGTGAACGGAGCTCTCGACGGCCCGCTCGTGTACTTTGCCATACAGCACGTAGCCCCTTCCCCCCCCCCCCCTCCACTCCGTCCGTGTGCTTATCTTCTGGTGGTGGATAATTGTGCATCTTCGACTTTCACAGCAATGATTGTGTTGTATTTACAGGGCAGACCAAGGTCACTTCACTCGCTGCACTGTCTCCATTGCGACAAGAGCCCGTCTTTCAAACACAGCGAAGTAACAAGTGTGACATTAGCTTATCGTATATATGTATACTTGTGCGTATGCGTTTTGTGCGTCATTTGAGTTTGAGCAGCGCGTTGAGCGTTCGGCTGTGAACAATCTTAGCTCGCGCTCGTCCTATTGTGTGTCCTTTTTGTTCGTTCTTTCGTCTTGAGCAGCGCACTGCACATATCCATGTGGTTGCAGTTCCTCGTGTGACATTCCAGTTTGTTGCTTTCGCATTCACTGTTTTACCCTCGTGGCTAACTTTAATTTTTCTTTTCAGCAAGTAGCCATTTTTATGTTAGACGACGTAAGAACGAAGCTCATAATGAATGTAGTTACATGGGACTCAACGTTGTTACAGGGCTCCTTAAAAATAAGAGTTAACATTAGGTTATTGTTTTCTAGGGCCGGTGAACTTGCTTCATGTATTAAAATTTAAAGTAAGTGTAACTTCGCTATCTTGTTAGGTTTTAGTCACCTTGGTGTAGAAATTCGGCTGATATGGCATTGATTCGTCTTTTCAAACATTTCCAAGCATCTCAATAAGCAGAAAAGACTGCACGAGCACTACTTTCTCGGCCATTCGTTAGCATTTCTTTTTTTAAGCTGCTTAAATTTTTTCCTAAATGTGAATATATATAGTGACTGGCCGAATCTTGGTAGTACGTACAAAACGCATTTAAGGAATACAGCTTCAAGAGAAAAGAAAACTGCGATTCTCGTGCATTTTAAGCCGACGAGCTACAGGTTAGGTTAGATTTGGTTAAGTGAGTCAAAAGCGTGAGAGTCAAAATAGTACATTTGTTCTCGATCACTCTACTTTTTCTAACAGTGCACTTTATGTTGCTACGCAATCAACTCACATTCCATTCATCCCGGACGTGATGGACACCGCATCGCCGCTGGGCGCCACAATGGTCAGCTGCGCGCCACCAAAGTCCTCCTCGGGGGAATGCTTGATGCCGTAGCTTTGCGCCGATGCCAGGGGCTTCGTCTTGTCGCGGTTTTGATCGGCGAATCCGATCGCTTCAGTCACCATGTCGGCCTGCTTCTGTAATACCGAGACATGTAAGGCCTTTGTTAGCTATACTTACTGTAAAACTCGCATGATCCCGTACGCATTTGCCTGTAATGAATGGAAGGAGAAAGCTAATAGTATTAGCAGTAGCAGCAGTAACGGTACTATTACTAGCAGCAGCAGCAGTAGTAGTCATAGTAGTAGTAGTAGTAGTAGTAGTAGTAGTAGTAGTAGTAGTAGTAGTAGTAGTTCTTGTAGCAGTAGTGTTGGCAGTAGTAGCTGTTGTGGTGGGGGTAGCCGTGGTAGTTGTGGAAGTAGTTGTAGTCGTGGAAGTAGTAGTGGGAAAATTCAGATACCCGACTAGTTATTGTCATTGTCATTGCTGTAATGGCTATATAGGCAGCTTGCCCGGTGCACTGCAAGTGCAGGTATATTAAGACTTGCTTGCTTGCTTGATAGAATAATTGATTGATTGATTGATTGATTGATTGATGATTGATTGATTGATTGATTGATTGATTGATTGATGATTGATTGATTGATTGATTGATTGATCGAGTGTTTAGGACTACATACTCACACTTTTTACGTCTTCATCGTCTCCAAGCTCCGGTCTCCTTGCCAAAGCGAATTTCAAATCCTCTACAAAGCTTTGAAAAAGAAAGGGAGGAAGAATGTGTCGGCACAGGCACTAAAGAAATATTTTACGATCACTCATAAAATCGATCTCATCGGATCGGAAAGGCCATCCACCTCGAGTAGGGGCGACTGGTCCACGGGCAGGTCGTGCCAACTCTCCTCAATTTTCAATTTCGCATGTGTATATATACACGCACACACACACAAAAGACCAAACATACTTAATGTATAGTTGAACCCCCTCTCCTCCCCACCAAAAAGTTTCCTAAAATTAACAAGGGGGGACTCTGGTGCTGCGATCGTTCAGCGACCGTGGGCATAATGGGTAGTATACGGATATGCCTAGTCTTCGTACTTGCAGGTGGCGAATTGTACTTGCGGTTTTGTTTATTGCTGTATTTAAGTTTCGTTTCAAAAGAAAAAAGGAACCCTTTTGAACTTTGTGACCTGATTTGAAATGATAAGCCTAAAAAATTAAGGTGGTGAAGCACAACTTCTGAACATTCGCTGATTTTTGTTGCGCGAAAAGGAGCTCCAAGCCACACGAACGCACACGGAGCCAGAAGTATGAAAATTAGACGAATTCATGAACTACCCATCATTCCCATGCTCACTGAAGCGCCGTGCGTTGCAGCTCCCATAGACATTAGTGCCAGAGTTACCTCTAGTGTATATTTAGGAAAACATATGTTCCCCACCCCCGGAAAAATTTCTGGCTACGTTACTCAACCGTGCAGACAGTTAGACTTTGTCGTTATTACGTTTACATTGTTTATTACGTTAATATTGTTATATCTTACTTAGTGGTTAGGATATTGCGATAACTATTTTCTTCTTTCGTCTATTTTGCTTATTGCAAGAATTTTTAGAAGGTTTGAATGCTAACATGCTTTTCAATTTGGTTTGTAATCTTGAGCAATGTTTTCTTTAGAATAACGGAAAGTATTATTACAAATTGTGTTTACGTTGTTATAGCTTGTTTTACGTCAGCTCACATGTAAAATCACTTGCTTGTCATTGGCGTTGTATTATTATTATTATTATTATTACTATTATTATTATTATTAATCTCATTGTCGCTGTTAGACGTTGTATATTCATCGATATTTTTAATGTTAAATTTTGTATGTAAGTTGTGCACAACCATGTTATATTCTTTTGATCCTCCCCTCACACAATGCCTGTAAATTATTTTGAATAAACAAATAAATAACATAAGTGTTCATAACATATTGTAACGCATTCTTCAATGAACTCTTTTAATAGGCTAACGTAGGCAGGGCAAACTTGTGCCCGAGAATAATAACACAGCTAGGTTGTCTCGAGGATTCACTTCTGCCTCTTCTTCTACGTTCTTCTTTTTTTCCAACTCGGTTCGCGCGCAGCTGGGTCCCGCAGGCTCGTGCGTCGCAAATCATCTAGAAGGCACAAGTATTTGCTAGCGCGCGTAATTTGAAGTCACATTGTGTCATTGCCCCCCTTTCCAGAGTGCATCGTCCTGATGCTTGTGTCGAACTGGTTGCATGGCAATCATTCACAAACCCTCATCGGGGATGTCGTTAACGTCAAAGAACGTTGTATCTTCAGCGTTTCATTGCCTGTCGTGATATGGTTTCATCCTGACGACATGCACAGTTTCCGTGCGATGCCGCCGTCGGGATGAAATATCCTGTACCTCTGGCATAACTTCGTAGTTGAGCGAGCCGACGTGGCGGAGCACTCTGCACGGACCGAAATAGCGGCGAAGCAGTTTTTCTGACAGGCCACGTATTCGTACAGGAATCCACACCCATACTCTGTCTCCTGGTGCGTACTGGACGTCTCTTCTTCGCAGATTGTATCGATGCGTGTCGGTTTTCTGCTGTTGAAGAATGCGATATTGTGCCAGCTGTCTGGCTTCTTCTGCTCTTTGTACGTAGTCGTGAACGTCATAGTAATTCTCGGGCGTCTCGTCAATAGGTAAAATTACATCTAAAGGTGTCGTTACCGTCCGGCCAAAAACAAGTTGGAATGGCATCATCCGTGTTGTCTCTTGCATCGCAGTGTTATAGGCGAATGTTGAATAGGGTAATATTTTATCCCAAGTACGGTGTTCTATATCAACGTACATTGACAACATATCAGCCAGCGTTCTTTTCAGTCGTTCCGTAAGACCATTTGCTTGAAGATGATATGCCGTCGTTTTTCTATGACTGGTGTGCGTCAATTTCATAATACATTTCATCAGGTCGGCCGTCAATGCAGTCCCTCGGTCCGTGATCAACGCTTTTGGAGCTCCGTGCCGCAGTACGATGTTGGAGACGAAGAATTCGGCTACTTCAACGGCTGATCCTTTAACAAGAGTCGCTGTCTCGGCATATCTGGTTAAATAGTCGGTCGCAACTATTATCCAGCGTTTTCCCGATGACTAAGTAGGAAATGGGCCCAGTAAGTCCATTCCCACTTGTGTGAATGGGGCTTCTGGTGGTTCTATCGGTTGAAGGAGACCTGCTGGTTTTAGCGGTGGCGTTTTACGTCTTTGGCAGTCCCGGCAGGTTCTGGCATAGTGTCGTACAGAGCTAAGCAACTTCGGCCAGTAGTACTTAGTGCGTACGCGTGCTAACGTTCTGCTTACTCCTAAGTGTCCAGCTGATGGATCGTCGTGGCACGCCTCTAAAATCTCTGGTTGCAGAGGTGAAGGGACGACAAGCAGGAATGTCGCTGTATTGTTGTCAAAGTTCCTTTTATACATGATGTTGTTTCGTAGGACGAACGCTGACAAGCCGCGGACAAAAGGTCGTGGAACATCGACAGACTGTCCTGTAGGTACTTGATCAAGAGGAGTATCTCTGGGTCGGATCGCTGCTGATGTGCCATCTCTGATGGTGTCACAGCTCCCAAGAAAATAAAATCTTTACCATCCTCGGTGGAAGCAGAAGCAGCAGGTTGAATCGGAGCACGTGACAAGCAGTCCGCATCACTGTGCTTGCGACCTGACTGGTACACAAGCGTGATATCATACTCCTGTAATCGCAAGCTCCATCGTGCAAGCCATCCACATGGGTCCTTGAGATTAGCCAGCCAGCACAGCGAATGATGGTCGCTTATAGCTCGAAAAGGCCTACCATATAAATATGGTCGAAACTTGCTGATAGCCCATACCACAGCAAGGCATTCTTTCCCGGTCGCTGAGTAGTTCACCTCAGCTTTCGAAAGAGTGCGACTGGCATACGCAATTACTCGTTCTTGTCCGTTTTGCCATTGGATGAGCACGGCCCCAAGACCTAAATTGCTTGCATCCGTGTGGATATCGGTTTCCGCTTCCTCGTCAAAATGCGCCAGAACAGGATGGCTTTGAAGGCACTTTCGTAGTTCATTGAAGGCATCCTCTTGTTCGGCAAGCCATACGAAAGGCATTTCCTCTTTTGTCAGCCGCGTCAGTGGTTGAGCAATTCGTGAAAAATTTTTAACGAACCGTCGATAATAGGCGCAGAGACCTAAAAATCGCCTAACAGCCTTTTTGACTGTTGGCTTCGGAAATCTTGCTACGGCCTCAGTTTTTGCAGGGTCTGGGCGGACGCCTTCTGCACTGATGACATGGCCGAGAAAAAGGAGCTCACGGAAGCCGAAATGACATTTCTGCGGTTTTATCGTCAAGTCCGCTGATTTGATCGCAGTGAGCATGGCCCGGAGCCTTTGCAAATGATGCTCAAAGGTAGCAGAGAAAACTACAACATCGTCGAGATAAACCAGACATGACTGCCATTTAAGACCACAAAGCACTGTGTCCATCATCCGTTGGAATGTCGCGGGTCCTGAACAAAGGCCAAAAGGGATTACCTTGAACTCGTATAAACCGTCCGATATCACAAACGCTGTCTTTTCGCGATCTCTTTCGTCAACTTCTATCTGCCAATACCCACTTTTAAGATCCATAGAGGAAAAATACCTGGCATTTCGCAACCTATCCAGAGTGTCATCAATTCTTGACAGAGGATAAACATCCCGTTTGGTGAAGACATTCAGCTTCCGATAATCAACGCAGAAACGTAAGGTTTGGTCTTTTTTCTTCACAAGAACAACAGGTGACACCCATGGACTTGATGAAGGCTGGACTACATCGTCTTTGAGCATTTCTTTAACCTGATTACCAATAGCTTCTCTTTCTCTTGGTGACACTCGGTAGGGATGTTGGTGTATTGGCCTCACTGACTCGTCGACAATGATGCGATGTTTGGCGATAGGAGTGCGTCGAACCTTAGATGACAACGAGAAAAATTTGGCGAATTCCCTTAAAAGACCCTCTATTTGCTCTTTTTCGCTTGGTAGTAGGCCTGGCTCGATGTCGATGGCTGCAAGGACAGACTCCACGTCTTCGAAATCAGACTCATTGGTTTCGGAAGTGCGCAGCTCCGTAACCTGGACGAAATCATTCAGACTGGCGATGACGGTTCCTTTTGCGACATGCTGCACCTCATTTCCAAAGTTTGTGAGTAGAACATTTGCACATCCGTCACGTAACTTAACAAGGCCTCGTGCCATGCAGATTCCTTTTTGGAGTAGTAAGGCAGTGTTGTTGTCAGCAAATCCTTCGAATTCACTGAATGCTTTGTTGTTTACTGCGACAGATATGCTCGATCTTGGCGGCACCATGACGCCATCATCTGCAATACAAAGGTCATATACGTTTTCTTCCGTTTCAAAGGTAGCAATCGTGTGCCTAGTCGATAATGAGACGGAAGATTCTCGCAAGTTAATTACAGCGCCATTAGCTCGTAAGAAATTCATGCCGATAATCAAGTCTCTTGAGCATTCCGGCAGCACAATAAAACTGGCGACGTACGTGAAACCCCGTATTCCGATTCTTGCTGTGCATATTCCAGTAGGGTCGATAAGGTGCCCTCTTGCTGTGCGAACTTGTGGTCCCTTCCAAGGAGTCAGCACTTTCTTTAGTATTTTAGAAAGTCCGCTACTCATCAATGAATAATCTGCGCCGGTATATGCCAGTCCGATGACTTCGTAGCCGTCAACGAACACACGTGAATCGGAAGCAACGTCACTATCGAAGCACCGGTTTCTGAATCGGTCGTCGTTCAGATTCAGCAATGGAGGTTTTTCTGCATTAGCCTCGACAGCGGCCTTGCCTCCACAGGTCGCTGACTCTAGTTTTCCCGACGCGGGCTTGGGGAACGAGACCTTGGGGAGCTTGCTGAAGGTCGGGGGCTAGGCGATCTATACCTCCCGTTGTCGTTGCACGAGGTTGGTGTCGTTGGAAACCACATGAGGTTTGATGACATGGCAGGTATTCTTCAATTTCGAAGGGACTTTCACCATTTCGTGGTCGAGGTGCATTAACAGGAAAGCCACGTAGTCCTGCCTGGCGGTAGTGGCACGTTCGGTAAAGATGACCAGGCTCCCCACAGTGGTAACACAGCGGTATCCTGTCGGGAGTGCGCCAGACATCGCTCTTCTTTAGTCTCCTCTCTGGCGTTGCCTGCAGGGAGCTCGGCGGCATCGGGTACTGCATAGGTGTAGCCGCCGCGATGTCCGCACGTCCTGGAGGTCCTCGTAGTAGCACATCAGCATTCGTCATTCTCGTCTTCTGTTGTAGTGGTGGCCCTGGCTGGGCGTTGCTCGAAGGTTCGCGTACCACCTGCCTGACCTCTTCACGGATCACATCGGCCAGAGACGAAAGCATTGGAGCGTTCTGGTCAAGACGCTGCTTCTGTAGCTCTTCTCGCACAACAGATCGCACCAGCTCGCGTAGTGCTTCCATGCCGTTACCAAAGACTGGTGGCAACATGTCCAAGGAAGTGACGATCGCATCCCGGTTGTATAACAGTGCTCGCGTTGTAGCGTCCTTTCCATTGTAGTCGCCTCAGAATGAAACTCGGTGACGGCGCGCGGCGGGCTTCGAATTAGTCCGGTAAAGAGTTCTTGCTTCACGCCTCACATTAGATGGCGCAGCTTTCTGTCTTCGCTCATATTTGAATCCGCTCGGCGGAATAAGCGAGACATGTCTTCCAGATACATGGCGACAGTTTCGTTATTTCGCTGATTTCTTGCCTGGAGCGCAGCTTCAGCTTTCTCTTTGCGGTCTGTGTTCGGGAAAGCAGCGAGCAGCTCCCGTCGAAAATCATTCCATGACCGGAAGGTAGCTTCGTGGTTTTCATACCATGTTCGTGCGCTATCTTCCAGTGCGAAGTAAACACTTCCAAGTTTGCGCTCTTTCCCATATCTGTTAGCCTTTGCGACGCGTTCAAAGTGCTCAAGCCAGTCCTCTGCGTCCTCGTAGCTTTCGCCGTGGAAAGGCTTTGGTAGCATTGGCTGATTTACTACAATGTTGGCTGGAGTGACCTGAGCTGTCATGTCGGTTGCGTACCCGTTCACAGCCGTTGATGTTCCAAGCGAAGTCGATAAAGGTGAAAATTCAGGACCCTCACCACGTAGGCGTCGACTGCAGCGCTGATGAACAGGCGTCAGCTCGTTGGGTCGAAATCGCTGTGGTTCTGGACTGTGCTCCGTCACTCGAGAGGGGCTTGGCATCATACCCAGCACCTCCTTCAGATTTGTAACGCACTCTTCAATGAACTCTTTTATTAGGCTAACGTAGGCTGGGCGAACTTGTGCCCGAGAATAATAACACAGCTAGATTGTCTCGAGGATTCACTTCTGCCTCTTCTTCTACGTTCTTCTTTTTTTCCAACACGGTTCGCGCGCAGCTGGGTCCCGCAGGCTCGTGCGTCGCAAATCATCTAGAAGGCACAAGTATTTGCTAGCGCGCGTAATTTGAAATCACATTGTGTCTATGATGAATATGGCCTGATATATAATGATCCACTTACTTATGCATCCTCTTGGGAGACATGGCGGGAAGCTTGTACCTGCTGTCAGTCGCTTCCAACGACATCACTCTGTCATGGAATATATAATGAGTTAAGGGTAAACATTTAACATTTATTACACCCTCATAACATAGCTTACGTTGTGCTCAATATGTGACCATAGTGTACCCCTTCAAGCATTGGAAATTGTTGCGTTTTATTACATATAACCCGCCTTTTTATATGGTCCGCTACCCTGACAAGAAACTGCAAAAAGAAAATTAGAAAACGCGACTTTTTGTGAAGCTGCCTCCCTTAGATGACCGATCACCATTGCCGTGAAGCCAACTTTTTACACTTTGTCGTTAACTGCGATTGTTTTATATATATATACCTCTTAAGCCGGCTATACACGAGAAAATGCTGTACATGCTCGACGACAAAAGTTTACAGACACAGATATCAGAGACGATCAACGTTACGCTTTCGAGTCGTTCGCGAACGGACACTTATTGAAAGCATGCAGCGTTGTGTTGTTCATGCGTGTTATACTAAAGACTAGAAAACCTAATTACCGGGTTCAAGGCTTCTTATACTTGCAGCTTTTTTTTTTCGCACAATGTGCAGTCTACAAACATTTGCGGATCAGTGTATCTACCGTCAAAGGAACACTAAATAAAAAACGATTGTTTCTACTATCAGTAAATTACCCTTCTACTATTCCAAAATCGAGAGGCCCGCCGCGGCAGTACTCTTCATATGTGAGAAAACACGCGAAGAGGAAATGCGCGTGGTGACACTACCTTAACATCCAAATTCGCCCAGCAAATGACATGACGCCACAGATTCCGACGGTGTCTACCGGAGTCTTGCGTAGTTTCGAATCGGTAAAAAAATTAAGTACTCTGACCTCTGAGAGGGTCATAGACTTAAAATACCATGTTTCAAAAAATTTCGTCAAGCCGATGCTTCTGGAACACGAATACTGTTTTTAAATCTATGACTCCACGCGTTTATACTTCTATGCGAAATTTATAAATGGAACATTGAGCTTGATTGTCTGCTCTATTAATAAATTTTTGGCGGTGAAATCAACGACAGCGGAGTTTTCAGAGTGCACTTTATGAGTCTATACCAATTCATCGTTCCACTATAGTATCTTTTTAACCATTTTTGTGCAGACCTATTCTATTATTTGTCAACAGTGATTGGCGGCCGCCGATATACTGAGGCGCTTGTAGCAACGTAATGGCGCGTAGTATGAAATGGCATAGGTCTATGAGCAGGTCACGCTGCAGGCCTTTCTGGCGATTGTGCACGGACTCACTTGACTTTAATCTGGTGGACGGCCACCGCTAGTACAACACCAGCGCCTGGAATAGGAGCCGAGTATAGGCGCTGGCTGCCTCCCATCTTGGCCGACACTGGATCCTGCCAGAGAGGCTTGTAGTCGGACAGGTCGCTCGCCTTGAGTGACCCACCTGTGGGTGAAGAGGAGAGCCAGAATCGGCTGTTAGGCACCTAGATGACGCGTGAGCACGCCGCAGCCCCCTTTAAGCAGAAAGCACTGCAGATTAGAAAAAACTCAAGAGTATGGTGCCGTTTTTTTTTTCTTGGTTAAGATAGTCTTTGTAACGGGTGTCTGAGTGGCCTTCTTGAGTTGCGTGGTGAATAAGTACAGGAACTGGGAAAGACGCCGCAGTGATCTAAAAAAAAACTCCACGTGCCTATAAGTCGCTGTCCAGAAGGCGAAAAGATGGACCGATGGGTGGATTGGTTAATCATGTTAATGAGTTAGGTGATCCCCCAATCACTTCAACCCCCTCAACCCTTCACCTAAGTCCTCCGCTGTTACAGTAAATAAAGATATATAAAACTTAGTACAGCAAATTATGTTAGCAATCGGGTGCACGCGGTTGAGTCTAAAAGGCAACGCGATTCTCAATGGAAGGGAAGGAATAGAGGACGCTTGAGCTTCAGCCTTCCCAATTATCGAGAAATTAACAATGTACATTGATGAATTCTAATAAACAAAAAACCAATGGTCTGGCTAAGGAAACCGGTTGTCTATAGCACAACTGCGTTACCTGCACTTGCCACGTTCGCTTCGATCTCCTCGGCGAGTTCCTTTTCGTAGAGGTACTCCGCGCCCTCTTCGGCAAGCTTGGTCAGCAAATCGGCGAGTTGCGTCTGCACCAGCTTGTCTCCGCTTTGTAGCAGGGCACCGGTCGCGTTGTTGGAGAAGCGCTTCCTGCATCGCGACAGTAGGACACGTTGAACGTGAGTTTCGCCCCCTTCGTAAAAGATTGATTAATACGACCACTGTTGCGTATTATATAGTTACCGTACCATTTACTGTGTCACCACGTGTACCACTTCGACCGGCTAAACATAACGCGCCAGGGGAGCAGCTGGATTTTTTTTTTCGTTGGGGGGATGGGGAGGATTAACGATACTTTATGTATTTTCGTGTGTGCGTTTGTATAGGTTCGTGTACGCACTCATGCAAATGCAAGCAAACTTGTAAATTTCGGCGGGAATAGAAAAGGGAGGGGTTAAACCAACCCCCCCCCTCCCGGCTACTCCAGCGCAACGCGTATTAGCGTGCGAATGGTAGTTTCTGGCGTGATTACACGTTTCTGTCACTCAATATATCTGAAGCGTTGAGAAGACTCGTTCCGCTACATGACATTCATGTAGTGTTTTCTTTTTCTTTTTCTATATAAGCTTCAGCAAATCTCATGGTTCTGTAGTAGAACTCTTCCTTGCCACGCAGATGGTCTGTGTTTGATCTTCACTAGGATCCGGAAACCTTTCTGATTAACTTATTTTTGAATCTTACATGTCATGATAGTCATAGTCTTTCTTGGGATACTTGCATGCCGGAATTTAGGCCGGTCCGTCCGTCCGTCCGTCCGTCCGTCTGTCTGTCTGTCTGTCTGTCTGTCTGTCTGTCTGTCTGTCTGTCTGTCTGTCTGTCTGTCTGTCTGTCTGTCTGTCTGTCTGTCTGTCTGTCTGTCGTCTGTCTGTCTGTCTGTCTGTCTGTCTGTCACGTAATTCAGCCACCCGGCCAAAGTTTAGGAACTTGCTGAACGCCCAACCATCTTGAACCGGTGGCAGCGTTCATACCTGTGAATCTTAGGAGCCATTCTAGCATTCATAGAAGCCAATGGACTGGAGGCACGTCTTTAGAGTTACCCAGCGTAGCCAAACCATATTTTCATCTCCTCTCTTTACCATCGTCATTCATCACTCTTTAGCTCCACTGTCACCTTTCTCCAGTGTAGAGCAGCCGGTCAGAGCAAATTGTAGCTCAGGCCGACCTCTACCTTTCTATCAATAAATTCTTTTTCTCTCTCTTGTCGATATCTGAGACGCATATTTGCGCATATAACGCATATCTGAGGCGCAACATCAATACTTAGGTATTAGGTGGTGTGTAGCTTTACTAAAAAATACATATATACGTAATTCTAAAGACAATAGTGACTCTTATAATGCGCTGAAAATGCGACGCTATGCACGAAAGAAGGCAGGCCAAAGACTATCTTCTTTCAACGACATTTGCAGTGAATCACGCAGAGACATGGCCATTATTTCTCCTCTTCGTCGAAGGCATGGCTTATTTTCTATGTGATCTCAAGCGTGGACACGTGAAGACATTGAGCGCTAACTGTGCAACTCATGATGCTCAAATCAGTGAATGGACGTCCATTATTTATGGTGCGGCCATTTTTGTTTATGGAACTATTTGCTGAATGAAGAGCGAGCGATTTTCAGCCAACTCTGAGCATTATTCGCAAATTCAAGGCGGCGTCCTGCGCTGTGACGTTTGGCCCACGTGTTCTGAGCAGCCCCAACCTCTGATACCGATCAGCAGCGGTTTCTCACCATGCTGTAAAAGTGTTGAAGGGCTGCTTAAGACTCATCTGGAGTCAACTGACGGATCTCTCTTACTCGGGGAAATAATGGTGCAGTACCTCAGGGCAGGCGATAGATTCAGTACAATCATGTTGTTCGCCAGGGCAGCTGCCAGGTTCGGTCCGATGGTGAAACCATCCCTGGCGATTCGTATGGCTGGCTGAAAGACGTCCTTCCAGGGAAGCTTGCCCGTCACGTTGTGCAGAGCCTGCATTCCTGCCAGTGCGCCCGGCACGATCACAGCATTCGCCCCTGCATGGACAGAAAGCGTGAATTAGAGTTTAATAAAAGACAAATTAGTTTGCTTGAAATCTTTCTCTTTTAACATGAAAGTGTATTATGCCGGGGTCCACCAAGATTTCAGGGATGTACTTCCGTCACGAAAATCACGTCTGAAAAACAACACATCGGAAGAAAACGTTTCGTTACGGGGAGTCGAACCCATGACCTCTCGGTCGGAGACAACAGCTGCCGGGCATGCAGTCCGATCACGTATACTTCGTAGGCTTTGAAAGCCCTACTTTTATATCTACCCCTGCCCTCTCAAAGTGCTGTAAGTGTAATAATGCATCATAACCGTGAAATACATGACCATCCCCTTTCTCTATTTTCATGAATCGCCAGATAGATAGATAGATAGATAGATAGATAGATAGATAGATAGATAGATAGATAGATAGATAGATAGATAGATAGATAGATAGATAGATAGATAGATAGATAGATAGATAGATAGATAGATAGATAGATAGATAGATAGATAGATAGATAGATAGATAGATAGATAGATAGATAGATAGATAGATAGATAGATAGATAGATAGATAGATAGATAGATAGATAGATAGATAGATAGATAGATAGATAGATAGATAGATAGATAGATAGATAGATAGATAGATAGATAGATAGATAGATAGATAGATAGAACAACATTGATTTCAGTCACTACTCGTTAATAATTCTTGTTAGATTCCCGAATTATCACTTTCCTCCAGTCACAGCCTGTAAATCGATTAATCAAAAAGTTCAAACAATGAAAGTGTTTAAATTAGAAGCGGACAGCGATGGTGATTAATCGTTTTGCGGGACACTTTTCTTCCATTAATCGCCTAATCAATCATCAATATTACCATTGATAGCGCTTACAACCAAGAAGACACGTTAGAACCCACCGAGTTTCAGCGCCGATGCGTTGGATGAAAACATATCCTCTGTGATGCTTTTCGGAGACACTCCAAGAGCGTCCAAGGCTTGAACCTTCATGGTAGCCCTGAGGACGTAAAAAACAGAAAGAAAGGAGCTCGTTCAATTGTACTTCAAGATGACTCGTGTTTATTCGGGACTGGTGGGTACACCGACACCGTAATAAGATACGAAATGGCTCGACTCGGGTGATGACAAGAGCACACCACAGAGTGCCCTTTTGCGTTATCTTTCTCGTCCCCTGTCACACCATTTTATATTTTTCTTGTGATACGTGTGATAGAAACAAAGCAACGAATCATTTTGACAACCTGGGATTGTTTAACGTGCAGCAGAATGTAAGTTTAAACATGCATGCCGCATCCATCGAAATAAGTCACAGTGACTGGACGTTGAACATACATACGTTCGCGAGCTTATAGTCGGAGAGCATTAGACGCTAAGCTATGTCACCTCGGATACCGTTTATCACTACAGAATGATTTCCAAACGGAACTGCGCATGGCACTATAGCACGCAAAATATTGGCGTAGACAGAAATATTTTCGGTGGTGGGGGAGGGGGGGAGGCAGCTTTTGACAGACCAATTTCATGCGTGCGTTTGTATGTGTGCGTGAATATATACACCAGCAAAAGTGAAATTTTTCGGGGAGTGGGGTGTTGAACCCCCCCCCCCCCCACCTCTGTTCACAGAGGTGGGGGGGGAGTTCCGGTGGGGGAGTACCGGGGGGGGGAGTTCCGGGGGGGAGTTCCGGGGAGGGGGGCACAGTACCGGTATCGTCGTAATGTCGTAATCATGCTCTGCTTATAGGTACGAAGTAAGGCTCACTTGTTGTAAAGAATGGCCATGAGACCACCACCGATTCCAGTGAGGTGCGGGGCGGTGACTCCCATGCACAGCAACGTGGCGACGGCGGCGTCCCCTATAGCGCCACCCTTGCCGAAAATCTCTCTGCAAAGAACGAGAAAAAAGACCCGGCTGGTACAGTGCGAGTGGCGTTGACTCTTGAATTTGCGAAGCTGTAGAACTTCCACGATTGATGGCACCTCACGTAAGTGTCAGAGTTTAGAAATGTGGGATAGTTATTAAAAATGTCCTGCCAACCTTTTTTCAAGTAGCCATAGTATGGATTCACTAAAGGGGTTCATTGATTCACGAATTCACTACCGCAAATATTTTTAGAATCCGTCCAGTACGAGTGGAGTCACAAAAATTTGTCTCTTCTTTCATCCCGACGAAAGCGCTGGAAGCAAAGCAGGGAGGATTGGTATGGGGAAAGAAAATACGTCACACGCGCCTCATAACCGTGAGCACTTTTTCTCTTCTTTTTTTCCTTTGAATATGTGGCTTTTCAGTGTGATCATGCGTACACGTGGACAAGTAGCGCCCTACCACGGTGACCACAGTAACGACCAAGTGCGCCATGCTCAAATCAGTCAATGGCTGATAAAATGGCTGCAACGAGCACGGTGACGAGTGATTTCTGAGCCTGTAGTGTCATTTGTCGAGAGAAGGGAAAGCAATTTTCAGATGGCATTGAGAATTTATTATGAATTCTCCGCCGCGTGTTACCTTGTAATATTTGGCTTGCCTGTTCTCGGGAGCCTCAAATACCGATAGACAGCTTTTTCTGACCATGCTAAAAATGTTGTGGGCCTCTATAGTATTAAAGCCTTAAGGGCCCCTAAAACAGCTCTAGTATTTTGTTTTACAAATTTCAAGGAGACGCTGATCCAGTTAGAACGCCGTCATGATCAATAATGTCACGCGTGGCCGCTGGCACACCGTGTTATCGAAAAAAAATCCCAGCATTTCTACGGAGTGAATGATGATGAGTAGGGCGAAGCATCCGTACACACGGACGGACGGATGCATGGACGAATGAACGGACGGGCAGAAATACGGACGGACGCATGGATGGACGGACGCATGGACGGACTCACGGACGGATGTACGGACGAGCGAACGGACGGACGGATGGATGCTTCGCCCCACACCTCATCATTCACTCCGTGGATATGCTGTGAAAACCACTAGCACCATCTAGTTATATTATTCCTGAAAACATGTACACGCAACGCCATCTATATAGCAACTCATAAACTAGAGGTGGCTACATCCTACTACTATACGACTACAGAGGGGGGGAACGACCTGGGGACTAAGGAACTTTGCTACTTAAAAAAAAAAACAATCTTATGCTACTCTGCCCAGCCTTTCGTTTTCCCCAGCGTTGGTCGTGACGTGGGCCCCCGCATCTGGTCCTTCCCATTCGTCCGCTGTCCCGATCTTGAGTACTTTCCAACCCCTTCTCTCTCTTCATTTTTTTTTTTTTGCTTTCACCTTGTGTCATGCCGAACCGTCTAGCCCAGAGAGCTCATTTATTGTATGTGATATCGCAGAATGTCGCGGTGTTCGTTTTATATATTTTCTTCTTTTTCTTCGTTATGCATCAGACAACGGGACAGGCCATTAGATTTTCACTTCTCCTAAATCTTTTTGCCGCAAACCGTTTTAAAATTGGATCATCATCAGCCTGTCTATGCTCCCTGTAGGGCAAAGTCATCTCCCACGATCCGCCAATCAACCCGGCCTTGTGCTTTTCTGCTGCCACGTTATGCCTGCGAACTTTTTTCCTCTCGTCGGCCCCCCTTCCTTTCTGTCTCCCCTTTGTGCGTTTGCCTTCTTTGGAAATCCTGCCTACGTGCTACGTGCCCGACCCATGTCCACTTCTTCATCTTGATTTCAACTATGATATCCTTAAACCCGGTTTGTTGCCTGACCCACTCTGCTCTCTTCTTGTCTCATGGTTATACCTATCACTTACCTCTCCGTCGCTCACTGCGTCGCCCTCAATTTAAGCTGAACCCTCTTTGTAAGCATCCAGGTTTCTGCTCCGTAAGTAAGTACCGGCAAGATTATGCTGTTATATACCTTCCTTTTGAGTGTTAGTAGCAGATAACTATTCATGATTTGAGAATGCTTGTCGAATGTGATCCATTGTGACAAAACTAGAGCCCAATCAAATGGGTCTGTTCTAAAAGTCACCCATTACGTGGCAAGCCAGGACGCATGGAAAAGAAGCTAAGGAGCCTTTTTTTTTCTTTGTTAGATATACTGTGCGAAATACGAGTGAGAATCAGCCAGGATATTTACAGCCGAGAAAGTTCGGTTCATATTACTTCCAGCGGCGTTAAGTATGCGTTTGCGTATGCAACCTGCTAACACTGGCTGTGTCCACTTGGGGGTAAAAGAGCGCAAGATACGTGTAGCTTATAAGACTCGACCACGGTCTCGACTTGACCTCAGTGTTACGCGTATGGCGGTAATCGATGACTGTGATAAAAGCGCTATGGTGTTCAACGGGTCGTTCGACGTACCGCATTCGAACACCAACTTCGCAAGTGTCTCTTTTCTATTCGCGAAAAGGAATGCAACCAGTGGTACCATTCTTTCCCTGCCAAAATGAATTATGACTCTCTCCAGAATAATTATATATTTAGTTACACACTAATTAGAATTAATCACTGAAACTCACACAAAGCAACACATTGCTTCTTTTTTTCTAACGCGCAATCTTAAAATTCAGTGCCTCGGATTTATTCTCTGTGAAGTTGACACATTTGCAAACAGTGCATCATAATTTGCGCCTGATAAAGACTATTTTACCTAAGACGTAGGGGCGCCGTCATCTTGAGCCGTTAATCAGATCTTTTAGAGCGAGAGCTGTTATGAAATCATAACATGAGTCACGTGCGCACCGTAGTTGTCCGCCGCCGCCGCCCGTGTCCGTAACCATTATCACACGAAATAATAAAAAAAAACTCAGTGAATAAGAAAACATTAAGTACACACTGGAACTCGAACCCGCGTCCCCTTAGTGCCAGGGCAGTATTTTACCACTCAGTCACACCGACGCTTGGGACTTGTTCGCAAACTTGCCTTAGGCAGGCTTGATGCCGGGAACGGAGTGGCGTTAATATGAGTAATAAAGCGTTTTAGAATAGTAAAGCAACGACAAGGTGTCACATAATGCAAATTGCGCAACGAGTGGGTCGTCGAATGCTACGTTCCTTTAAAAAAAAATTAAACCTATTAACTGCCGCGCATGCCCACTGTGAGGAACTGTGGGTATTACAATAGCTTCTGCATAATTCGTCGTCGTCAGCCACAGGACGAAAAATTGCACAAGGTTCCTTGCAACTGTACAGCGGGTACCATGCTCTCCGAAGAATAACGAAGGATGGCATAGTGAATTCCTGCCTACTACACCTTGATAAATGGTCTAGTGGGTACCCTGCAAGTGTGCTTGTAGTAGTTACCCAAATATTGTTTAGACAAAAAAAAAAGACTGAAAGGGCGCTCTTTCAGCTTTCGTTGTGACAGTGTGGAGAGTTTCGTGCAGGCCTGGCGGTTGTTGTTGTTGTTGTTGTTGTTGTTGTTGTTGTTGTTGTTGTTGTTGTTGTTGTTGTTGTTGTTGTTGTTGTTGTTGTTGTATATGCTGTAGGCCCGTGTGCTCAGATTTGGGTGCGCGTTAAAGAACCCCAGGTGGTCAAAATTTTCGGAGTCCTCCACTATGGCATCTCTCATAAATCAAATGGTGGTTTTGGGACGTTAAACCCCACATATCAATCAATCATTATTGTTGCATACTGCGACATGAATTAAAAAGGTCACGAAGTATCGTATGCACCAACACAACCGTTTTCATGCGTGTGCGTCTGCCTTAGGACTGTTAGATTACATGTTAAAGATACAAAACACATAGGTTAACAGACTAATGTGATGGCACTGAAAGCTCTCCGTAAAATATGGTCTGTACAAGTGCCTCACTTGGCGACATCTGCGCAGAGCGGCGCGTCGCAGACGGCGGCCCACTTCTCGAACGTCATGTCTGGGGGCGTAGGCGTCACGATGGTGATAAGGCCGAGCAGATACAAGATGAGGAACGAGACGATAAGGAATGGTGCGCAGCAGCAGCAGCAGATCAACGTCAAGACGTTACAGCAGATATTTCCGATGGGGCTGCGTGTACACGGAAAAATAAACGTCTTGCATGAGAAAAAAAAATGGCCCCGTATCTGCATGTTTCACTGCAAATGTCGTCGAAAGACGATATTCTTGCGTCTGGAGAGAGCGCACAAAACGTTTATTTTGATGTTCCACACGAAAAAAAAAAACGGTGAAGTGTATTCTGGAAACGCTGCGTTAGAAAGTCTCGATCCGTGCATTGAAGGCGAACGAGTGCATCTAGGCACGTTAGACACGAGCGCCATCTGGCAGTTATCTTCGAAAACGAAGGAAGGCGTGAGCGCCTGTCTTTGAGGCGATAAGGTGTAGAACGCAAAGTGACGGGCAGATGCCACCACCGTGTCGTCATAGCAAAGCGTTGGAAACACTCAGTGCCTTTTTGAGCATTGTCATTGTCATTTTTGTTGCATTGTCAGCGCAGCGTGATAAACGCTGCGGTTTTAAGAATTATTTATGTACGCCTTCTCTAGTATAAAGACACACATACAAAATATTGGCGTGTTGTTATGCTGCCTCAGATCTGCGGAATAATTGCTTTTTCATTGACAATCACACAAGTGTAAATGCTGAAACTCGAGCAACATTAGTGGGCGCTGCGGATGGCGTTGGCCGTTTTTAGTATTGTTTAGAGCCGTTTAGGGTATTGTTACAGCGGACAAACAGACAAATGTACAGACAGACGGACAGGCAGGCAAACAAAAATTTTTGCGTCGGAGTACCCCAAGAAAGATCTTTAAAAATACGACCGATGTGGGTGTACGCGCCAAACGATGCCGTCATTTCCCAATCTGTATAGTTTCGTTAGGCTTATTAATAGTTGATGGGAATTGTTGGGAGTGTCATCCACATGCGGATGACACTCCCCCGTGTCATCCGCGTCATCCGCATGTGGAACAGCCTTCCAGATGAAATCGGAACTGAACGCAATCGGGAAAAATTCCGGCACCTTCTACTCACCCATTTCCAGGATTAACTGCTCGTTTTATTCATATTGAAATCGGCACCTACGCGTACATTCACTACTAGTATCTCGCCTTTTTTTTTCTCTTACTTTAAACTTATTTTGATTTATGGTTTGAATACTAACATGCCATTCAGTTCTGTTGTGTTTTATTCAGTGACGCTTTATTTTGAATAATGTCAAGTCTTTTCACAATTTGTGTTTGTTTATTTTTAACTTGTTTTACGTCATTATATCACGCGTATACTGATCTGATGTTCATTGCCGTTGTATTCCTATTAAAATTATTAATATTATTTTCTCATTGTTATTCCTGTTAGAACTTGTATAATAATTGACAATCAGTTCATGTAATTGTTTGTATGGAAATTGTACGAACTCGTGTATGTATTTCTTTTATGCTCCCCTTACACAATCCCCTGTTGGGTCTGTAAGGTATTTTGAATAAATAAATAAATAAATAACAATGCCGCAAGCATTGTAGTAGCCGATTTTGTAGCATTGTTGCAGCCGACTTTGACCAATATACGCGTGAACGTGAGCAGCAGCATAAGGAGCTTCGCCTTTAGGGGCGAAGCTCCTTATGGTCTCCACTCGCGCATCCCTCCGGCGTACCCAGTGGAGCATATCCGCAGACAGACAGGCGGACGGACGGACGGACGGACGGACGGACGGACGGATGGACAGACAGACAGACAGACAGACAGACAGACAGACAGACAGACAGATAGATAGATAGATAGATAGATAGATAGATAGATAGATAGATAGATAGATAGATAGATAGATAGATAGATAGATAGATAGATAGATAGATAGATAGATAGATAGATAGATAGATAGATAGATAGATAGATAGATAGATATAGATAGATAGATAGACAGACAGACAGACAGACAGACAGACAGACAGACAGACAGACAGACAGACAGACAGACAGACAGATAGATAGATAGATAGATAGATAGATAGATAGATAGATAGATAGATAGATAGATAGATAGATAGATAGATAGATAGATAGATAGATAGATAGATAGATAGATAGATAGATAGATAGATAGATAGATAGATAGATAGATAGATAGATAGATAGATAGATAGATAGATAGATAGATAGATAGATAGATAGATAGATAGATGCTTCGCCCACTCATCATCGTTCACTCCGTGAATGTGCTCTCATTTTTTTTTCATGTGTGCATGCATACATGTGTACACATAAGCACACGCAATAATAAGAACAAATAGTAGTTTAATCACCCCCCCCCCCTTCTTCCTTTGTTAGTAAAGTTAGAACTAAAGCAAGCTTCGCAGCTGTGAACGAAACGTTTACGGGATGCTTCGGCTTCGTGTGGAACGCAGAAGCGTAGTCGGGTCTCGTGAACATTGTCTTCTCAGATGGCAGCCTCACTTCGGTTCTCGGTGCAAGCCTCAAACGTGCCGTAAGAAAACGATCTACAATGCACGTAATATAGGCCGTTTCTATATATATCCTAGAATGCTACTCCAAGACAAAGGAGAAACTATGACGTATACGCCATAGTTCCTCCTCTTGCGAATCAGGTGTGGCCCAGCGCGCATCCGTAAGGCAACAAGCGAAACTACGCAGGTGCACTATGTCGATGCTTTTGCGGCTGATAATGTTTAAATATGTTTTAGCGCTTTGTAGTGGGTGGGCCTCTGGGCCACCTGCTCGTTTCGCAATGGACATGTTTTTACGCCTGTCGCGATTCTCTCACGTAATATTACGTGCATTAAGGAGACTCCTACGCAGTGCCTTTTTCCCCGATGCAAATCCAAGAAGAGCTTAGCTCAGTGGTATAACACATGGTTGCCGCACAGACGGCGTGCTTTCGATTCTCACTCGAAGCGAAGTTTATGTTATTTATTTTTGTAAGCGTATTTCTCAATTTTCGCTCAGGTACAAGATTATTATTCGCTCATAACCATCGACGCCGACATCGGAATTTCTGCAAAACGTGCTGTTTAACGCTATCGCGTTAAAATTGACCTTGAAGCGATGACGTACTTTCAGCAACCTGGCTTCGGTCCTGGGCTTTCCGGGTGAAAATGTGGAAAGTAAGCGGTTCTTGGAAAGTTACATCGGTTGTCCTAGGCCACCATTATTGTCAAAAATGTGCATGGTCGTTGCCATGAAATTAAACATTGACACGGGACAGGTCCTACTCGTTAAAGGCATCACCCAGCTCCGATGATTATGGAAAGGGGAGTACCACTCCCCCCCCCCCCCCGCTTGTTCGCCAACCTAAATGTTACGGCCCCGTATGGGAGCCTTGTTCACAAGTTTTGAACAAAAGCTTTAGTACGGCCGTCGAAACGTCAGCATATTATTTGCTTTTATCGTGATCAGCGTCTTGTTCTAATTATGTGCGTGTCTGTTCCTCACCAAACGACTTTCTGTCCAACTATCGATTTCAATCAAGAGGTGTACGAACTGCAGCATAACATACTTGTCGAAGGTATCCCCTCCTTTGGCAGAGTCTCCTGCTCCGCCTCCTCCGCGGCTTGCGAGCGTGCCACCGCCAGTGCTACCGGGAAGGGATGAGACGTCCATGGTTTCGAACCCTTGATTTCTCGGAAGGCCCTTGCTTGTTCACGTTGCCTCTCCTGATGAATGATTGGCGTAGATCAGCGCGAGATTAAAAAGCCGTTCTTAGAATCAGCTGGGAAACGACAGAAATGTTTAGGGAAGAACCTGAGAATCGAATCAGAGTCAGAAATTCACCAAAAAATTGACTAGAAGCAGATGAAAACGGTTTAAAGGCTCATCGAGTGCACATGTGCAGTGTCTTGTCTCGTTTGCAGTGGCTGTCATGGGTATGTTTCAACTAGCCCAACTTGCTACTATGTCCAAAGATAAAGGTTCGAAAGTGGATAGATGAATGTGGCTGCAAAAGGTTATTGAGTTTTACATTCATAGCGCATCAGGCCGCTCCCACGTTGGAACAGTATGGCCGAGCCAGACCGACACATCGTGGGTGTCCTGGACAGACCATATTTCAGACCCGGCATCGTGGCTCTTGGTTGCAGATTGCGACTTGCTTTGATCTGGTCCACACGTGCCTCGCAACGAGGGGCAATGTCAGTTCATAAGGTCTATAGACTAGGGAAGTTGTTCAGTTCCTACAAAAGCTACCGGTATAAGAGTCGAGTTAAATATTGCTTAATGATAATTGATTGATATACGGGGTTTATCGTCTCGAAACCACCATATGATTATGAGAGAAGCCGTATTGAAGGGCTTCGGAAATTTCGACCACCTGGGGATTTTTAACGTGCACACAAATTTGAGCACACATTCCTACGAGCATTTTCGCCTCCACCGAAAATGCAGCCGCCGCAGCCGGTATTCGATTCCGCGACCTGTGGGTCAGCAGCCGAGTAACTTAGCCACTAGACCACCACGGCAAGGTATTGCTTAATGAAGCCGGGCTGAAATACAAGCCCGTTTGCTATGATCTGAGAGCTTATGACTGCGCTCTACTTGACTTCTTCTGAGGAGGGGAAGGTCTCTACTACCGAGATAAAAGTTTTGAGTAATTTCATTATATGTGGTCGGATGATCTCTGTTCTCCACCACTGAGGGGCGGTGGAGGAGCACCATTTTCAAGAAACAATTTTAAATTACCTGAATTTAGGACCAGCTGTTTCTGCTTCCGGACGCTCCTTGTTCTCGTCCGCTGAGTGAACGTGGCTCAGACACTAGCTGCGTAGCACTGATGATTATTGTAATGATGATGATGCTCCCGAAAAGATTGTCATCGACCCACTCAGAGGAAACGGTCAAGAGACAGACGGATTCGCCAAGATAAAAAAAGAGGAAATTTAAGTGCGTGATACAAAAAATAGAAATGAAAAAAGGGGGCCCGGGATACGTTTATTACAAATGTTTATTTATTTATTTTTTGTTGCGCACTGTAAAGCTTCAAGTTTATATTGTAAGATGTCATAATGTAGCTTTGCACCTGCATCCGAAAAGCGTTCATGGCTCGGATAGTGACGGCCCGACAGTCCGCGCCCGCCACGGAAGCGAGACGACTTCGACGGAGGTGATGGGCGAACGGAGGAGGTGACGATGACGAATATGTGGAGCGAGAAGACAGAGACACATACTATCACACTATAAATAACAGCTATAGAATCATACCCCTCCCCCCCTACTCAAGCCCATAGCCAGTCAGTCAAGTCAAAAACTTTATTAAGAGGTCCTTTGGAGTTGAAGCTATCAGGGGGTCTGTGATAGCCAGAGGAGGAGGAATAAACTTTATTATAAGAAACCAGCAAGTTCAGGTGGCCGGGCCCAGGCCTCCCGTGAGAGGACGTCAAGAGCTTGCCTCGACGCCGCCTCACGGGCGTGCTGGGTCGCCCAGGTTTGGTCTTCAAAAGCGGGGCTCCACAGAGCCTCATGGAACTTCGACGAAAGGGTCGTGGCTTTAGCGTGTCTGTACTGTGTCGGACACTCCCACAGCATGTGCGGAAGCGGAGCCAGAAATAATTTTTTCTCGCGGGTGGGGGGGGGGGGGGGGGGGGAGGACCGCCAGGGGGCCACGGAGTGCAGACACGCATGTCGCGTCGGCTCCGCAGATTTTCAGTGATTCTCAGCGTGAAATCGAAGAATTGACGGACGCCTTCTTACAGTGAAGAAAGTGGAAGTTCCACGGAACCCCGCGATACCACTCTCAAGTAGGTGGACGTTTAATTTTCGGCACATTGACCACATTTCTGTAACGCCGACGAACGCACGACGCCGTTGCCTCCTGCTGCTGTGCATAATGCGCTTGGCCTAGCCCACGGACGCTGGCGTCTTGAGCCCCTTCAAGGCGGCGTCTTATCGGGTTAATGCCACAGGATGGCTACGATGAGCGTGGATGGCGAAGATATCACGCAACAAGAGTATGAGAACGACGCAGGTTGGCGCCTTGTGAACAGAAAAGGACGAGCCAACAAAGAAACCACAACGCATGAAGCCAAGGACCAAGAAACGCACTTCTCAAGCGAGAACGTGGTCAGTAATAGATGGAGGAAGGGACAGAGAGCAAGACAAATTGCGGCTGCGAGCAGGATGCCCCGTCTGCCGAAGGAAGATTACAAGATATTTGTGCGCCCACGTGACGGCTTCAAGGTCACTGACTACGGGATCAATCGTCTAGAATGCTGCGTTGCCAACGCCGCTAAAATACCCAGGAATGAATCGGAAGAAGACACGGTATGTGCCAACTATAAACAGAACATTCTAGTGGTCAGCACACCATCAGAGGAGCGCGCCGAAAAATACAGAACCATCGCTAAACTGAAGATTGGGGACAAAGAATTCGAAGCCAATGCGTACAAGTCAGCTCCGGAAGATACATCTAAAGGGGTGATCCGAGGTGTAACGCAGGACGTGTCTCCAAGAGAGATCGTGGAAATGCTGGTAACCCCGAGAAATCCGACAGTCCTCATGGCCAAGAGGATGGGAAACACCACAAACGTCATCGTTCTCTTCGATGGGCATCGCGTTCCAAGTTATGTGAGCTACGGAAGAGCACTGGTCAAGTGCTCACTATACTGCAAGAAAATAGACGTGTGCTACCAGTGTGGACACCTTGGTCACAGAGCTGACGTCTGCCCGAGCCCGAATAACAGAATATGCAGAGGGTGTGGCACTAAGAACCCACCGCAGGAGCACGAGTGCGAAGTGAAGTGCCAGTTGTGTGGCAAAGACCACCCGACGGCAGATCGCCATTGCAAGGCCAGATTTAAGGTACCGTATCTGGTGAAACGACGCCGCTGGGAATGAGCCCGACGAGAGGAAGAAGAAGCACTTTACTACGAGACGGAAGCGAAAGCACTTCACAGGCAAAGATGGGGCGACTCAGGTCAAAGATCGGAACATCGGACGCGGGACGCATCCGGACCAGAAGCATTCACCAAGCCTCAAACACAAAACAAAAACCGCTCTGCGTTTACTACCACCACATCTATGTCTAGATCCAGATCGAGGTCCAGATCGAGGTCCAGATCGAGGTCTAGACCCAAGACCGGCAACACCGGGTCTCCCCGATCAAAGGAGGGAGGAGGATCCCAAAGCCCAAAAGGACCGAGCGGCGTCCGTGGCACCGCGGGAACTTTCCAGGTGAGCTGGGCTGATGTGGCTTCCGGGGCGCGCGCGGAGGCAGAGGCTGCTTTTCAATGTAGAATTAAGGCGCTAGAGAACGAATTGGCGCAGATCAGGCAGAACAATGTTGCATTTATGAATGAGATTAGAAAACTCAGGGAAGAAAATGATTTTCTGAAAAACGGAGGGGTTACACGCAACGAGGAAACCTCACAAGTTATAATGAAGGAAAAAGGCGCAGCAATGGAGGAAGAGGTAGCAGCCCTCACCCCTGTTAAACGTAAACCAGAGAACGCTCCGATTAAAAGCGTGGTAAAGAAACCAAAAGCAGTGGCGACGCCACAAGAAAGACAGGAGGAATTCGCAAACACCATGGAAGCCAAAATAGAACAAATTGAAAAAAAAATTGCAAACTAAGCTCGAACAACAAGAAGTTAGATTTGAGGCAAACATAGAGGCCAAAATTGAGGAGCTAGGCAAGACGATATTGCAGAAAGTGCAGCAAATGGTGGCTGATTTCGACGCCAAGCTAGCAATATGGGGATCGCAGTCAAGTGGTGGGGGCCCAGTTAAGACGTCTTTTAAACCGTACGCTAGGACCTCGGTGCCCACCGAGGGATTAGAGAGCCTGTAACGCCGCCATGGACAGACAAAATAGCTACACGATTTGGCAATGGAATTGTCGAGGATATAATCGAAAACGATACATTTTGCAACAACATCTTAAAGACACCAGCACCCCGGATGTTATAATGGTGCAAGAAACGCACGGGCTGGTCAAACTGTCGGGATATAAGTCATTCGGCAGTGCTGATGGGGAGACAAAGGTATTAGCAACGTTGGTTAAGCGAAATCACGCGGTGGTGCAACATGACACGGAAATCAAGGCAATAAATCACATTCTCCTCGAACTCATACCCACGCGAAAAACAGAGGACAGTCTTTTCGTATTGAATATTTACAGCAGTCCTAAATGCAGAAAGCACAAATTCCGCACGCTGTTTCGAAAAAACCCTCGCTATAACGGGCAACCGGGCGCTAGTGATTGGAGGAGATTTCAACGCCCCACACGGTGCATGGGGATACAGGATCGAAACCCAGAAAGGCAGGAACTTGTGGTTGGACGCACAGGAGGAGGGCCTGACGCTCGTGACCGATCCATCCATTCCTACAAGAACAGGTACTAGCGTTTGCGCGGATACCACGCCAGATTTGACGTTAACCAAAAATATACTGGACACGCAATGGACCAATACGCAACATGACTTGGGAAGCGATCATTTTATACTTGAAATAACGGTGAGGGCAGGGCCGCAGAAGGCAAAAGGCAGACAACTTAAGCTTGTCGATTGGGACAAGTTCCGAAACATCAGAGAGGAGCCCGACGAAATGATACGGAGTATTGAGGAATGGACCGAAAAGTTAAAACGAGACGTGGAGGCCGCTACGCAAACGGT